CCTCTCCCTTCCCTCTCCCTTCCCTCTCCCTTCCCTCTCCCTTCCCTTCTCTTCCGTTCTTCTGAGTCTGTTGCCAAGCTGGAGTGCAGTGGCATGATCTTGGCTCACTGTAACCTCTGCTTCCTGGGTTCAAGAGATTCTCCTGCCTCAGCCTCCCAAGTAGCTGGGACTACAGACACGCACCGCCATGCCCAGCTAATTTTTAATTTTTAGTAGAGATGGGGTTTCACCATGTTGGCCACGTGGTCTAGATCTCTTGACCTGCATCTTCATTTCTAATTTTATTGCACTATGGTTGGTATAAAAGAATGGTTGGGGCCGGGCGCGGTGGCTCAAGCCTGTAATCCCAGCACTTTGGGAGGCTGAGGCGGGTGGATCACGAGGTCAAGAGATTGAGACCATCCTGGTCAACATGGTGAAACCCCATCTCTACTAAAAATACAAAAAATTAGCTGGGCATGGTGGCGCGTGCCTGTAATCCCAGCTACTCAGGAGGCTGAGGCAGGAGAATTGCCTGAACCCAGGAGGCGGAGGTTGCGGTGAGCCGAGATTGCGCCATTGCACTCCAGCCTGGGTAACATGAGTGAAACTCCGTCTCAAAAAAAAAAAAAGAATGGTTGGTATAATGTCAGTTCTTTAACATTTGCTGAGGATTGTTTTACGTCTAATTGTGTAGTTGATTTTAGAGTATGTGCCACGTGACAATGAGAAGAATGTATATTCTGTTGTTTTTGGGTGAAGAGTTCCACAGATATTGATCAGGCCCATTTAATCCAGTGCTGAGTTCAGGTCCTGAATAGTTCTGTTAATTTTCTGACTTGATGATTAGTCTAATACTGTCAGTGGGGAGTTGAAGTCTCTCACTATTATTGTGTGGGAGTCTGAGTCTCTTTGAAGGACCCTAAAAACTTGCTTTATGAATCTGGGTGCTCCTGTGTTGGGTGCAGGTATATATATGGGTAGGTCTTCTTGTTGAATTGAACCTTTTACCAAAATATAATGTCTTTCTTTGTCTTTTTTGGTCTTTGTTGGTCTGAAGCCTATTTTGTCTGAAATTAGGATTGTAACCCCTGCTTTTATCTGAGTTCCATTTGCTTGGCAGATTTTCCTCCCTCCCTTTATTTTGAGCCTATGGGTGTTATTGTGTGTGAAATGGTCAGTTGAAGACAGCATACCATTAGGTATTGCTGTTTTATCCAGCTTGCCACTCTGTGCCTTTTAATTGGGGAATTTAGCCCATTTATAGTCAAGATTATTGATATGTGTGAATATGATCCTGTCATCATGTTAGCTGGTTATTGTAGATACTCATTTGTGTGGTTGCTTTACAATGTTACTGGCCTGTGTACCTGAGTGTGTTTTTGTAGTGGTTGGTAATGGTCTTTCTTTTCCATATTTAGTGCTTCCTTCAGGAACCCTTGTAAGGCAGGTCTGGTGGTAACAAATTCCCTCAGCATTTTCTTGTGTGTAAAGGATCTAATTTATCTTTCACTTATGAAACTTAGTTTGGCTGGATACGATATTCTTGGTTGAAATTTCTTTAAGGATGTTGAATATTGGCTCCCAATCTCTTCTGGCTTGTAGGGTTTCTGCTAAGAGGTCCACTGTTAGTCTTATGAGCTTCCCTTTGTAGGTGACCTGGCCTTTTTCTGTAACTGCCTTTAACATATTTTCTTTCATTTCAACCTTGGGGAATATGATGATTATGTGTTTTGGGGATTATCTTCTTTTTTTTTTTTTTGAGACAGAGTCTCACTCTGTTGCCAGGTGCCAGGCTGGAGTGCAGTGGCACAATCTCAGCTCACTGCAACCTCCACCTCCTGCATTCATGCAATTCTCCTGCCTTAGCCTCCCGAGTAGCTGGGACTACAGGCACCCACCACCACACCCAGCTAATTTTTTTTGGTATTTTTAGTAGAGATGGGGTGTCACCATGTTGGCCAGGATGTTCTCGATCTCTTGACTTCATGATCCGCCTGCCTTGGCCTCCCACAGTGCTGGGATTACAGGCTTGAGCCACCATGCCTGGCCTATCTTCTTGTGAATTATCTTATTGGGGTTCTCTCATTTCCTGAATTGGAATGTTGACCTCTCTAGCTAGGTTGGGAAAGTTTTCATGGATGATATCCTGAAATATGTTTTCCAAGTTGGTTCCATTCTCCCCATCTCTTTCAGGGACACCAATATGTCATAGCTTTGGTTTCTTTACACAATCCCATATTTGTTGGAGGTCTTATTCATTACTTTTCATTCTTTTTTTCTTGATTATTGTCTGACTGTTTTATTTCAGAAAGCCAGTCTTTAAGCTCTGACATTCTTTCCTCAGCTTGGCCTATTCTGCTATTAATACTTGCAAATGCATTATGAAATTCTAGGCCGGGCATGATGGCTCACGCCTGTAATCCCAGCACTTTGGAAGCTGAGGTGGGTGGATCATGAGGTCAGGAGTTCAAGACCAGCCCAGCCAACATGGTGAAGCCCTGTCTTCTCTAAAAATACAAAAAATCAGCTGGGCATGTTGGTGGGCACCTATAATCTCAGCTACTCGGGAGGCTGAGGCAGGAGAATTGCTGGAACCTGGGAGGTGGAGGTTGCAGTGAGCTGAGATTGTACCACTCCAGCCTGGGTGACAGAGCAAGACTCTGCCTCAGGAAAAAAAAAATGCTTATAGTGTGTTTTTCAGCTCTATCATGTTGGTTATGTTCTTTTCTATACTGTCTATTTTGTATGGCAGCTTCTGCATTGTTTTATTGTGATTCTTAGCTTCTTTGGATTGTTTCAATGTAGTCCTGCATCTTGATTATCTTCATTCCTATCCATATTCTGAATTCTGTTTCTATCATTTCAGTCATCTCAGCCTCTTTCAGAACTCTTGCTGGAGAGCTAGTGCGGTCGTTTGGAGGAATAAAGGCATTCTCACTTTTTGAGTTGTCAGTTCTTGTACTGGTTCTTTCTCATCTTTGCGGGCTGTTTCTTCAATCTTTGAAATTGCTGTCCTTTGGATTTTTTTTTTCTTTATCCTGTTTGATGACCTTAAGAGCTTGATTGTGGTATAAGGTGGGTTCTATTGACTGGCTTTGTTTCTGGAAGATTTCAGGGGGCCAAGGCTCAGCTCACAACTCCTGGACTATGTGCTGTAACTCTGGGGGACCAGTATTGGGCCCCAACTTTGTTTTCTGGCTCCTTGAGGTTAGGAATCCACTGCACTGGGTGGACTGAGGTGCTCCTGCATCTTTTGTTTCAGCATTCCTGTGGGCGGTGACAGGCAAAGCATTTCATAGGGTGGTGGCAGTGGAGTCCATCCTCATTTGCATGTGCCAGAAGCAGCACGGCAGGTTACATGCTTATTGGTTGTAGCTGGGTGCTCATGGGTGTTCAGGCATTCATAGCGGCAGCAGAGAAGCATGGTTCAGGGGTTGGGGGTCCCTGCTGGTGACTGACTGTGTGTGTGGTTGTGCTGGTGGTTTTAGCATGGGGGTAAGGTGCTGGTGGGTGCAGGACTGTGTGCATCCTCTGTGAATTTTCATGTAGGTGTAGTTTGCCACTTAGGGCAGTGGAGGGTCCACCGTTCTCTGTGCCTAGTTTCACTCTGGTGACAATGTTGGTGCTGGGGCAGGGTGCTGGTCGGGGCTGGGTTGCACTCCGACTGCAATGGAAGTATGGTGGGGGAGGGGTGGAGTGGGGTGCACTTACCGCAGAAGCAGTGGCAGGGCAAGGTGCCTGTGCACACACATGCTGGCAGGACAGGGAAGGCAAGATCCACCCATGCACATATGCACCAGCAATGTAGGGGTGGTTGTG